TTGTTTTTTGTGTATTTTTAATACAGAGTGTACAGAGTCTCATGGCGCAGGTAGGACTCGTAGTGATCCTCCTGTTTACAGCCTTCCAAGTGCTGGGATTATAGGTGCCTACCACCATGCCCAGTCTCAACGGCCATCTCAGCATGCCCCAGGGGCGGGGCTGGCATGGCAGGCCCAGGGATTGAACCCCAACCCCTGTGTCTGCCTAAGCAGGTGCTTTAATCCACTGAGCTATTTGGTCAGCCCTAAGAAATATTTCTTTTCATGATTGCTAACTGCATTCATGTTTTCTATATCTGATGTTCTGTCTTCACATTGGTTCATTCTGTCTATATACTTTTAATAAAATTTTAATTTTCTGGGTATCTGGATCTGTTTTATAAATTTCATTTCTATTTTGGGTATTTATATTTTCCATGAGTTTCCTAAGCTCTTCTATCTTTTATCTGTTATCTGCCCTAGAATTATTAAACGTGCTTTTCATATCATCACCATCTCTGCAGTTATCTGTAATTATTTCTAATTTCATTTTATTCTAGATGCTCATTCATCTGCTCTCTTCTGCTGTTACCTCTTTAGAGAGACTAGGTAGGAAAGGTGGCTTCAAATTGTTCTACCTCCTTGCCCCCTAGGTTTGCCTTTGGTGAGCTGGAAGTCTGGGGTTGCATCTTGCTTAAGTGCCTTCTCATTATATATGTATTTTTTGGTTTTAGTTCCTGGATTGATATTTGTAAATTGCCTATGGCGATAGCTTTATTGCATTTATTTTTATTGCTTGTATTTAGAATCCTTAGCAAGTGACTACTTCTCAGCAGTGTCTTCTACGTGTAGCTGGCTTTGGGGTTTTGAGGTTGTTGCAGGATCCCAGCTCTCAGTGTCTGGGGGATGGGAAGCTGCTGCGTAGTTGGCCTACAGCAGAGAAGCCCCAGGTCCTCGGGCGCTGGCCTGCAGCATTGCTGACGGCCCCAGGAGGTCTCAGTCTCGGCCTTCCAGGAGGAGCACCTGATCAGAACAGTTGTGTCATTAGTAGCACAATCAGCGATAACTGTAGCATCAAGCACAGCCTAGAGAATGACAAACTGTGGTAACTTGGTTGGCCACCTTTAACTGTAGGAACTAGCTCTGGTTATTCAGCACTATCACCAGGAAAGTGTGTACAGTAAATATGCCTTTTGGCCATTTTATTCTCTGGAAGGGATTAAGGGAAAAAAATAGAGAAATACAAGAAGAGGAAGAAATCAGAAGCAAGGCCAGAGGCCAAAGGAAGATTATGCAAACTTTGGTAAACTGGTGAAGAAAAAATAGGGAAAGAGAGAAGGAAGAAATAAAACCAAAAAGAGAACAGGGGGCTGGGGACACAGCTCAGTAAAGTAAGCACTTGCCTGGCAAGGGCAAGGTCCTGAGTTCAATCCCCGTACAACAAAACAAAACAAAACAACAGAATGACAACAGAAAAACTAGAAACAGTGTTTATACTCCTATAAAAATGACAAACAAGGAAAAAAACCCAATAAAAATAAGATAAAAAGATAAGATAAAAAAGAAAAATACATACTTCAGGTGTGTCTGCTGTCACTGGGGGAGCGAGTGGGCAGATGAGTGTTGAGGACTCCCAGCATGCTAGCTGTAGATATACAGAGGCATAGTAAATAGCCCTGCAGAGCTGAACCTTCAGCTCAGTTACAGTCCAGGCTGGTTTCCGGCTGCGAGGCTGCAACCCGATTTGTTCCACCTGCAACACTCTGTGTGCCTCCTGTGTGCTTGAGCCTGGCTCCTTGGCTCCCTGCAGGCTTGTACTCAGATTTGCCTGCTCCTGACCCTGGGAGCCGCTAGGTGGAGCCGGCCTGTGGCTGCTCTGAGTTCTAACCCAATTGGCCCCTCTCCAAGATGGCTGCCAGCCAGTTCCCTCTGTGGGGGTAGGGGAGGGACTCTGAACCTGAATACTGCCCTGCGCGCTGCAGCCCACTCCTTGCACTGCTCCTTTCTGCTGGTGGGCTTCTCATGGAGGCCTCTGGGCTCACCAGTGGGCACTGTGGATCTGCTGGCTCAAATACGCTTCCATGCAGGGAGCCAAGGCTCTGGGAGAAGGCGTTGCGTGCCACCTCGTGCACGAGGTCTCCCTCCTCACCTTGTGGGCTTCAGTTCTCCTTCAAATCCTCGCTAGGTCCTGGGGACCCACTTTCCTACTTCTCTTCCTCACGCTGGTACATTCCAGGGTATGGGCACCAAATCTTGGAGAGGTTATGTTGCTGTACTCTTCACCACTTCACCATCTTCCCAGTAGTCTCCCCCTTTTTTGTTTGTTTGTTTTGATTTTGATACCAGGAATCAAACTCAGCACCTTGTGCTTGCCAGGCAGCCGTTGTGCCATTGAGCTACATCTCAGGCCCTCTACCTTTTTTTTTTTTTTTTCTTTTTAAAGAAATAAAGCACTTATATTTTTAAAGGGTATCATCCAAGGAACAGTGTTTATTCTGGCATAAAAGATTCTATAGGGGCTGGTGAGATGGCTCAGTGGTCTAAAGCACCTACTTAGAACAAGCTTAGCAAATCACAGGGACC